GAAATCAAACAAGCAGATGGTAGATACTCTTTCACTTCTTATACTGAAGAGGTCTGCTTTTACATTCTAACAGGGGGCCCATGTAAAATTTCCTTGGATAAGCAATGACTACTGATCAAGTAGGAAAAAGATAGGTAAACTGGGTTGGGATCCTGGCACTGTTCTTTACTAGCTCTGTGCCTTGAAAAAGTTCCCTAATCTCTTTTAGCTCCCCCCCCCCCTTTTTTGTAAAATACTATTTATAAGATCATTGAAAGAAGAAGATAAATCATGCATAGCACATGTCATAAGGCTTTAGCATATAAAAGGCACTAGCTAAGTGTTCCTTTTCTGAAAGATATAGAGAAAAAAGTTTTTTATGCAAGAGAATTGTTTTTTAAAATTCTCCAAAACATTAAAGCAACTTAAGAATACTCAATCAGTGGCAGTTTCTAACAGAGCACCACTGTGATTCATCCACTTTTGCTTTGCACCTCAGTAGGTAGGTGCACACAGTAAGTGTGTGTCTGTGTGTGTGTGTCTACGCGCACACATGATTCGCACATGTATTTGTCTCAACATCCACAGACAATTCTTCTGTAACCTGCAGTTATGCAAAAGACATACTGAGAAAGAGTTGGGGTCAGCAGCACCACTCTCTCCAGCACTTCCTGGCTGTGGATGCCATCAGAGATGCTAGCATAAATCCTCAGCATTTATCTACTGCTCCTCTATATTTTCAGCAGTCACCATCAGTTTCAATTTGTTGCTCAGAGATATTTTTCAAAAAACTGAAATACAAGTACTTACATAAACTAAGTTTACATGAACAACCAATCAAAAGAGCATTTTAGACAAATGGATTCACTGACTTGAGATTAAAAGGAGTCATAGAGTAGATTCATACGACACAAATTTAAGAAAAACACAAAGATGAAATAAGCTTGATCAAACTGGAAGTTTTCAACTAGCACAACTCTCGGAGGGCTATGGCAGCTCTTGAAAGGTTTCCCCTCTGGTTCGCTCATGCTGTGTGTCGCTTGGACAGAAAAGAGCTAAGGGAAATATCACTGAGAACACAACCACAATTAAATGTCCGTAGAATCACAGAAACCTACAATAAACAGTAATTGCAAAATATAGAACACTAAATCCCCAAAGTAAAATTTACCATCCCAATTCATCACTCATTAACTGTGTTACACTGAATGAGTTAATTAACCAAAGGCTGTTTCCTCATGTTTAATACCTA